ATAAAATTAATAAAATATATCACACAAATACAAACAGAGAACCACCGAGCAAACGCGCTCTCTAAACCCTAAACCCTAAACCCTAAACCCTAAACCCTAAACCCTAAGCCCGAGAGCGACCAGATCATAAAAGAATATAAAACATAGATATAGTTGGTTGCTGCATGTTTATATATTTGTATTTATAAAGTGTTAATCTACCCTTTTTTTATTAGGGTTTATGTTTTCAGGGTTTAGGGTTTAGGGTTTAGGGTTTAGGGTTTAGGGTTTAGGGTTTATAAGGGTTCGAGGCTCTTGGGGCTGGGGGTCGGTGGTGGTGAGGCGGTGGGTTGTGTGTTGGTGGTGTTTTGTTTTTGTGTTTGTTTTGTTTTTTGTTTTTTCTTTTTCTTTGTCTTCTTTGTGTTGTTGCTGCGGTGTATGTACACCTCATCACCACTAACCTATAGTTGCAGCAGCAGCAGCAGCAGCAGCAGCAGCAACAGCAGCAGCAGCAGCAGCAGCAGCAGGAGCAGCAACAGATCCTTCTCCGTTGGGGTGTATATGCAGCTCTATATTTCAGGTGTACAGACAGCTGAATATTTGAGCTGTACATACACCTCGTGATATGAGGTGTGTATACAGCTGGGGTGTATATACAACTGCGGTGTATACACAGCTGCGGTGTATATGCAGCTGCGGTGTATGTACAGCTGAGGTGTATACACAGCTGAGGTGTATACACAGCTGAGGTGTATATACAGCTGAATATTTTAGGTGTATATACAGCTGCGGTGTATACGCAGCTGCGGTGTATACACAGCTGAGGTGTATATACAGCTGAGGTGTATATACAGCTGAGGTGTACATGCAGCTGCGGTGTATGTACAGCTGAATATTTGGGGTGTATATACAGCTGAGGATGAAAGAGACAGCAGAAAGGAGACAAAGAGACTGAGGCAAGCGTTTCACTTCTTTTTCTTTTTATTTATTTAGAGAGCTCCACTCTTTCTCTTTTTTATTTTTTTTCTTCTCTCTCTCTTTTTCTTTCTTCTCCTTCTTTTTCTTCTTTTTCTTTTTCTTTTTATTTTTCTGCTTTTTTTCCTTTTTTCCTTTTTCTTCTCTTTCTTATTTTTTTTCTTCTCCTTTCTTTTCTTCTCTTTCTTCTTTTTCTCTTTCTCTTTCTTCTTTTTCTTCTCTTTCTTCTTTTTCTCTGTATTCTTCTCTTCCTTCTTTTTATTCTTCTCTTTCTTCTTTTCCTTTTTCTTTTTCTTTTTCTCTTTTCTTTTTCTTCATCTTCTTCCCCCCCTTTCTCTTACCATAGTTGAGGTGTACATACACCTGAGGTGTACATACACCTCCCTGCTGCTGTTATTTCTGTTGCTGCTGCTGCACCTGCATCACTATCCTCCTCCCCCGCAGCAGCAGCAGCAGCAGTAGCAACACCATCATCATCATCATCATCAGCAGCAGCAGCGACAGCAACAACAACAGCAACAGCACCAACAGCAGCAACAGCAGCAACAGCAGCAACAAAAACAGCAACAACAACAGCAACAGCAGCACCAACAGCAGCACCAACAGCAGCACCAACAGCAGCAGCAACAGCAGCACCAACAGCAGCAACAGCAACAGCAGCAGCAGCAGCACGAATCCCATCCGATGCTAAACTGATATCTAATGGTTCTTTCCTCCTCCTCCTCTTCCTCCTCCTCCTCCTCTTCCTCCTCCTCTTCTTTTTCTTTTTCTGCTTCTTCTGTTTGTATTGTCCCCCCCGAACCCCCCTTTAAAACCACCAACGGCCGCAGCTGGGTGCTGCGGTGGTGCGGTGTACAGACGCTGCAGCTTGCTGCTGGCCTCATACAAATTCCGGTGTATACGCAGATAGGAAGGGGACAATACGGCAGAGTTTTTGAGGTCTTACCTGCTCCACCTGCTGCTGCTGCCTCACTATAAGCGAGAGGGAGCAACAGCAGATGTATTAAGGGAGTTTTCTTTATATG